AAATGTGGGAAGTCTCCAAGAGCCAGCATGTGCGCCTGGAGTCCAGGTGGATTTAGGGACAGGACGAGGGCTCAGGGCATGGAAGCAACTGGCCTTCCCGACCTGCGACATGATGCGTGACCCACAGCAGCAGTCTGGTGGGAGTGGGGGGTATACTGCCCTGGGCTCGAGGTCCCAACCCGCCTGAGAAGGCTCCAAACTACAGAACCTCCGTGTGCGTTCTGCTGACTCCGTTTCCTCCTCTCTACCCCACCTCGGCTGCTTACTGCAGGCCCCTGTCCCGCACGCCAGGGTCACCACCAGCCCCTAGGGTCCTTCACCTCGGGGCTGGCCTCTGCCCACCCATGCCCCAGGCCCAGGAAATGTAGAACATGCGACTCAGACCCGTCATGCCCTCAGAGACAGGACCTTCTGGGGCCCATGGCCTCAGGCCCGAAGTCTCTGCCTCCCAGAAGGCCAACCCTCCCCCAGCGCCAGGCACCTGCAGCAGCTCTGCTGGGTCAGCTCTGGCTCTGCCCCCTTGGCCCTGGCTCATGTGGCCACACTTCTCAATGATGGTAACAGGTGGACTGGGAGACCACAGGACAGTAGGGACACGGTGGGCTGTCCACCCTCCGGCGTTCATCGTGCAACAATGAACCGGGAAGAGAAGCCTGGGGCATGACAGGGAGATGGAGAAGGGGTGCAGTCCCTGTCCTGGAAGCCTCTGTTCCCCATGATCTTCAGGACGGGGTCAAAAATTAAGCCCCCATCCCGATCCCAGGAGTCATGGCTGAGCTCCGGCCACACTTTGCCCACCCTGTCAACCTCCTACCAGACTCTGTGCCTTCCTTTATGGTGCTGCACCCCTCGGACACAGAACTCCAGGCCCACCAAGACTCCACCTCAGCCTTCTTAATGTTCCACCCAGGAGGGGGTCCTGAGGACTTTTGGTGACCCGCACCCACTGCAGATTGCCCAGCCTGACCTTGAGAACACCCAGACCCATGAGCAGGGACACCCGAAGCCCTGCCCCACCCAGGCCCAACCTCCCTTCAAATTCATCTACCAGAAACGACCCCCATCTCTTACCCAAGCTGCCCTTGACTCTGGCCTCTGCCAGCAACACCGACAACACCCCAGTGTTCAGGCTGCCCGGCACCAGGATGCTCTGAAGATGCATCACTCCTGCTTTTAAATGGGGCTTCTGGATGGTGTGCCGGTGAGGCTGGAGGGCTCCAAGTGGACCCCTGATTTCTGCTCAGAACTCTGGGATGTTCTGCAGAGTAGGTGAAAACGATAACGCATGCATCCCAGACTCAATAACCTGGACAAGGATAGGCTGAAATGAGCCTTTACACTGTGATGAAAGGAGTTTCTGAGCAAATTAATGGCGTGAGCACAGTTTACACAAGTAGAGTTGGAGCCTTTAGCAGCCCCCAGTAGACACGCTGATGGGTAATGAAGCGCCCTGGTCTGTCAACACGTTTTCAGGCAGTCTGAGTGATTTCCTGGTGAAAAGCAACAAGGTGACACAGGGTTACTGCAAGACTAGGGTGGTCTTTCAGGGCTCCATGTCTTCTCCTCTGGCTTGGGAGCAGGCATGGAGAGGGGAACGGACGAGACCTGGTGGGCTCTGTAGGCAGGAGAGTGAAATAGTGGTGGTAGTGGAGGGGGGGATAAATCAGCGAGTGTCAGAGATAGACGATAGGCACCTAGAGATGAAAGTCTTTGTCCTCAAAGAGCTCACGGTGTGGGTGTGTTATCTTCGAGAAGCTCCTGTCTGAACCTCAATTTCTCCATCTGCCAAAGGGCCCAACCTACGTGAAGTCTCGCTGAGAACACCTGCAGCGGAAGTGAGCAGCCACAAACCCCGCGGCCACGTTCCCGGGGATCCTGAGGGCGTTCTTCCCACTCCTCTCGGCCAGGGACCTGATCCTGCAGCCGCCTCGGGGAGGCCATGCTAGAATCATCTGGTCACCTTCATCATCCCACCCTCCAAACACGAATCCCACCCTGTCATTGTGGGGGCACCGCTCTGGTGTCACCCCATTTCTAACCGCTGCGTTAGCGTTTCTGATCCTGAGCCGCCCTCTCCGCGCAGCCGCAGTGCCGGCTCTGACTCCGCTTTCTCCGCAGATCAAGTCGGAACGAGGCCGCGCTGAGCAGCAGCCTCTGCTGGACCGAGGGACATTTTCAGTTTCCGATGTTTGGATCTCAAGTCAGGAGGGACAACAGGAAGGGGAGGCAGGTGCGATCCTGGGGCCCCAAAGGGAGAAAGGAAGGTGGTCAGGAAGGGGGAAGAGATGAAAAGCTGCCACCAGAGTTTGGGAGGGTCAAACATTGTTGGGGAGGAGCCTCTATGGAGGGCCTCAGTTTCCCCATCTAGAAGGTAAAGGGGTGAACGCAGAAATCTAGGGTCGAGCTCTAACAGTCTGGAGTCCCAAGTCCATGATCCGGAGCCAGAGCCACCTGGTGACAGTGTGGATGAAACGCGGACCCACAGCTCAGGCTTGAGGTGGAGCGGGCATTAAAGGCCCTTCTGTTCCAGCCACACAGACGCAGGGACCTCCTCATGGCGTCCCCACGAGGGTCCTCCCAGCACTTCCTGCGCATACTCTGGGCGGGGACGGAGTGCTGGCTAAGGGCACAACAGGGCACAGAAGTCCCAAAGTGCTGGGAGGTGAGCCGGTGAAGAGAAATAGCTAGTACAGGTGCTCCTGGAAAGAAAGGGGTCTTCAACACGAGGCTGGGACAGAAACCAGACTCACCCCCTTTCTGGGATCTTTGGGCTAAGGGGTCCAGTGTGGTCTGGGGTGGCCCAGAACTCAGGGGAACTCCCCTCTGGGCCAAGGGCACAGTACCAGCAGCAGCAGCCACACCCCGGGTCTCCTGGCCTCGGGTACTGCCGGGGTTAACACCCCCAATGCGGTGCCACCCCCCCCCCCCACAAGCTCCCTCCTGCTTCATTCTCAGCAAAAAAGCTAAGACCTCGCTCTGGCCAGGCCAAAACCAGGCTCTCACCCTTCTAGGCTCAAGGTCTGCGGGTGGAAGGGTCAAGCACAGGTGATGGGATCCAGTCTGGCCTGCTAAGGTCCAGCAGGCTTCCTGGTGGTGGCTAGTGAGCAGGAAATCCACTGTCGCTTCAGGGAATTCAATTTTAATTTATATTCATATATCGATTTCTAAACATTACAATTTGTTCCAGTGTTTTAAAGGGCGTTAACAGTCTCAACACTGCTGAATGAGTAAAGGGATTAGAGAGCAATGATAACGAATTAAGCATTGACTGCTTCCCTACAGTGAGCCATACAGTTGTGATTTTATTGAATCCTTCCAGGAGCCCTGAGAATGGTGTGGTTATGTTCACAATTATTATTTCCTTTTATAGACGATGAAACAGAGGGTCAGAGCAGTTCAGTGACTTGCCCAAAGTCACACGGCTACAAGACTGTGAAAAGCACAAGAGGGAAATTCAAGAAACACCAAACTGAGCACCTGGACTTATTGAAGGTATAGCCAGGTCCCGGGGAACATGAAGGTTCCAGAAACAGATAATGGAGGGATGCCTTCTGGGGACCCCTCCTCATATCCCAGGCCTCCTTCCTCACATCCCTGGTTCCCCTCCCCTTGCCCCCAAGGACTCTTCCCTGTAACCCTGGGTCCCCTCCCTGTGTCCCTGAGTTGCTGAACTCAAGTTTCGTGCAGTCCATCTACCCTTCTGTGGGAGGGTACAAGGAATATACCCCTTGCCCAGAGAAGGTGACAGTGAGAACGGCCCTGAGAGGAGGGTAAAACGTTAAGGCCCAGAGAAGAGGAATGGCATTCAGGTAGAGGGAACAGCATGCGCAAAAGCATGGCTGTGGACGAGGGTAGTACTGGAGAAGAAGAGGGATCTAAGATGCAACTTTGCGATCAAAGGGCCCCAGATGACAAGCTCAGGATTTAGACTTGTGCCGGCACCTACTCCCTTCCCCAGCAGGACTCAGGAAGGAGGAAGAAGTCCAGGGCCCAAATCATCCACACCTGGGTGTGGGGCCCTGATAAAAGAGCCAGGTCCCTGGACTGTGTGCACCAGGCACCACTCCAAGGGCAGCAGAGCCAACCTGCCAGCTTCCTGAGCCAACAGGGCCCTGAGGGGACACCCTGGTCCCTTCACCCTGGAACACATCACTCGGGCCAGAGAACAGCCACAGGACACCTTCCCTCGCTGACCCATCTCTGCTGTATCTGACCTCATCTAGGTCCATGAGGGGTGTGGGCTGACTTCATCCTTATATAAAAAAAAAAAACAAAAAACCAAACCCGTTGTCATTGAGTCGATTCCAACTCATAGCAATGCTACAGGACAGAGTAGAACTGCCCCACGGTGTTTCCAAGGGGCGGCTGGTGGATTCGAACTGCTGACCTTTTGGTTAGCAGCCGTAGCTCTTAACCACTATGCCACCAGGGTTTCCATCCTATTAGCAGTGTGAAAAAAGCTGTTATCACTCCTGCCGAACATATGGGGGAACTAAGTTCAGGCCCAAGCTGGTAGGTGCAGGAGCCAGACCTGAACCAGGCAGCCTGGCTGCAGAGCCCAGACTCTAGGTCTTTGCCCCTCACAGCCTCACCCTCCAGGCCCTGAGGCAAGTGGCCCACAGAGACAGGCAAAGACTCAGAGAAGAATCCTGTGGCTCGCACAAGGCTAGCTTCTGAGCTGAAGCCCCAAAGAGAGGGAAGTAAGAGCCACATCAGGATGGCAGTAAGGGGAGTTTTTCTGCAAAATGCCTGGAGAGGGGATGCATAGGCCTGGTTCAACACTAGCAAACCCTGCCCGTCTAGGCCCCAGTACACTGGGGGCTGGAGTGGCTGATCTCTGATGCAATGGAGGAAGAATGAGAGCTCTGGGCAGAGGGGAGTGACTCCTGAGCTCAGGAGGGTCCAGCATGCCCAAGGCAAAAGGACAGATACAAGACCTGGAGAAAATTCCTGTGCAGCATACACAGCCCATCGGGCCACCCCTCATGCCCACTGCACCCTCCACGTCTTCCCCAGATGTGACAGGTTCTGCCTTTAGGCATTCATGCCAGCAATCCTGCCAGCCCTGGAGATGCAGAGCCACAAAGGTCCCTGTCTCTGTACACATAAAGTCTGTACAGGAACGTTTATATCAGCTTTATTGATAACTAGAAATCCAAATGTCCTCCAAATGGTGAATACACGAACTGTGGCATGTCTATACCATGGAATACTACCCAGAATAAAAAGGAACTATCGACACATTCATCAACATGGATGACTCTCGAATTATGCTAAGTGAAAGGAGCCAGAATCAACTATCTACATAGTGCAACAATGTACAGTTGCTAGGGATTCAGTCAGGAGATGGTTTGACTAAAAAGGGGCAGCATGAGGGAGGGTTTTGGAGGGAAGAGTAGCACTGTTATGTACTTTCACTGCTACTCATTATAGCACTTAATACATTTGTCAAGTCACATAACTGAACATTCTAAAACAAAAAAGTGTTTAAAAATATTTTAATTTTAAAAATAAGGTTAAAAAATTTTACAAACAATGAACAATGACTAAGAAAATTGGAAATTACAGAGAAACTAAATGAGATATCACTTATAATCTCACCTTTAGGGGAGAATCCCTGTTAATGTTCTAGGATGAAGCATCTCCACAGGCTGGTTTGTCCGCCTTTGTAAAATGTACATTTCTATGTAAATGTTTCATAAACTGCCATCATCATGTACACACAGTTTTACATCCTGCCTTTCACACATTACGATTGCCTCTTTTGTGATCCAAACTTTTCTGAAAAAAGTCATTTAGTGGCAGCTCAGTATTCTGATGTGTGGCCAGGCGTTTAACTCCCTTCCTGGTGGCTGCTCTCAGGGTTTCCACTATCACTACTACCAACAAATACCATCATGCCCAGGGGTTTCCACAGGATGATTCTACAAGGTGAATTGCTGGGTCAAGGGAAGGTCTAATGTGAAGGCTTCTACTAACTGCAGCCACCATTTCCCAGCCCTCTTACATGAAGAGCCAGTGAGGCAACTCCCACTGCAGCACGGGGCGGAGTGGCACTGGATAAACCTGCAGGCCCAAAAGCCCCTTGCCTTGTCCCCACTAACACAGGAACCCTAGCTGGGCTCTCATCTTCTCTAGGCCCTGCAGTGGGTGTGCAGAGCAAGTGGAGCCCAGAAACTATTCCAGCCCAGCAACAGCCTTAGCTCCCAGCCTGGGGCACATTCTTGGACAATTAGAATTACAAAGCCAGGACTCAGTCGATGAGCATAGGCTCTGGGCTTGTGAGGACAGCTCCACTGAAGCTAGGTCAGGTTGGGGCTGAATGTGGGCCCACCATCACCTTGGGCCAGAGAATGAGCTGTCTTTCCATGCAAACCCTGCTTCTCACAACCCCATTAGAGAGAGGGACACTTCTGTGGGATGATTTTGGCTTAAAACTTTCTTTGCAGTTTCCTCATCAGTCAACCAGGGAAGATGATAGGAAAAATAAATGAGATGTAACGCAAAACATCCACTACAACACTGAACGTAAAGTACAATCCTGATTCTGTTAAAAGCACTGCTTTGCATACAAGGAAAACCAAAATAAATTCTAAAATACCAAAATTGGTGAGATTTTAAGTAATATTTGCTTTTCCATACATTTTTCAGTTAAAATCAAATTTTCTAAAATGAGAACTTGGTGGTGTATACCCCCCAAAAAGAAAACACTTCGAAACACCTATGTGTTGGTATGTTGTAACGTAACTTTTATAAAAATCATGTAAAATACAAACACTACTTATCAAATTTCATATCACAGAATCAAAAGAGTACTTAGAATATTTGTCACCTTAATGTTTACATCAGAAATACATAGTGAAAATCAATGCACATGGGTATAAGGCACTGTACACTCCGTATTTGCGAGAAGATTCTTCCCCTGGTTGAAATTTCCTTGTGCACAAAAAGGAAAATGATGTGATTGAAGGTGCTCTCATAATGATTATAATCACAGCATCTCTCCAGTGTGTGAGCTCTCATATGTATCTGCATTCTAGGGAGAATGACATATCTCACCTCTGATGTCAACTTCTGTGGTGGATTACAAATTCTACTCTGCATGCCAAATGCATCCTGGGGAAACCTCAAACTTCTCTTTCCAGTTCAGTTCTGAACCGAGCTGCCCACGTGGCACACAATTTCTCATTGACCCTAGCTGTCCAGGGATAGGTGAGCACTCAGACTGCCAAAAATGCCAATGCCAGCCTTGAGCTCGGGAGTCCAACTGACTCCTTCCACTTCTGACAGGTTGGCTGGCCCCCACTAACTCCTTTGGGTTTCGTTATACTCTAGAACAACTCACAGACTTCACGGAAAGTACCATGCCGACAGTAAGAGCTTTAATGCAGCACAAAAGACACAAAAGAGATTCCTAGGGTGAGGTCTGGAAAAGTCCCGAGATGCACTATCTTCCCACATGCATGGGTGTCTTGCACAAACCAGGAAGTTCACTGAGCCTCCGTGTCCTAAAGCCTTTATTGGCCTCACCTCGTGGAGGTCTCATTGCCTGCTGGTTTGGCCATCCCACATCCATTAGCCTCAGGAACACAGGAAAAAGCCAAACTGTTTACTGCAAGGTGATTCATCATCTCACAGCATCCTGAGAAAGTTTTCATTAGCTTTTATATTCATAGGCTCAACCAGTGTAATGTTTCATGTATTGTCTAAAAATGGAAAAACACATGTAGATGTTTCCAGCTAATTTACATTACACAGTATTTCTCCATTATCACTCCTCACATGTTCAGTATGGTTAAGAAAACCTTTTCCATATGCATGAATTCAAATGTCTTTCAAAGGACAGAGAAAAGAAAATTACCCACATTCCTTACACTTACATGGCTTCTCCGCCATGTATCTTTCAGGTTTGTGAAAAGGAATGAAAGCTATCCAAAACCACTTACACATAATTGTTTCCCTCAAGTATGCCTACTCAGATGTGTTTCAAAGAAAGAGACATCAGATTTTCCCATATTCTTCACATTCAAAACCACCCTCTCCACTTTGAGTATGTTTAGAGAGGGAGGAGGAATAACTAGAGACTTTTCCACATTCCCTCCATTGATAAGCTCTGTCCACTGTGAGCTACTGTGCTTACTGAATGAGGAACAAACGGCTTTCCCACATTCCTCACATTCATAAGGTCACTAATGTGAGTTCTTCTTTGTGTAGTGAGGGATGAGAACTGACTAGTCTTTCCCCTATTCCTCAAATTATAAAGGTTTTTGTCCTGTGTGATTTTTTATGTGAAAACTGAAGTATGAGAGATTACTGAAGACTTTCCCACATTCCTTACATTCATAAGGCCTCTCTCCACTGTGCGTTCTTATATGTTTAGTGAGAGATGAGGACTGGCTAAAGGCTTTCCCACATTCCTTACATTCATAAGGCCTCTCTCCACTATGAGTTCTTACATGTTCAGTGAGGGATGAGGAACTACTAAAGACTTTCCTACATTCCTTACATTCATAAGGCCTCTCTCCACTGTGAGTTCTTCTATGTATAGTGAGAGATGAGGCCCAACTAAAGGCTTTCCCACATTCCTTACATACGTAAGGCCTCTCTCCACTGTGAATTCTTACATGTTTAGTGAGGGTTGAGGAATGACTAAAGGCTTTCCCACATTCCTTACATTTATATGGCCTCTCTCCACTGTGAATTCTTGTATGTCTAGTGAGGATTGAGAAATGACTAAAGGCTTTCCCACATTCCTTACATTTATAAGGCCGCTCTCCATTGTGTGTTCTTACATGGTTAATGAGGTGTGAGGATCGACTAAAAGCTTTTCCACATTCCTTACATTCATAAGGTCTCTCTCCACTGTGAGTCCTTATGTGTTCAGTGAGGGATGAGGAATGACTAAAAGCTTTTCCACATTCTTTACATTCATAAGGTCTCTCTCCACTGTGAATTCTTACATGTGTAATGAGAGACGAAAAACGACTAAAGGCTTTCCCACATTCCTTACATTCATAAGGCCTCTCTTCATTGTGTTTTCTTATGTGTTTAATGATGGATGAGGCTTTCTCACGTTTCATACATTCGTAAATCTTATCTCTACTATGAGTTTTTTTATCTAAAGTGAGGGATAAGGGATGAGTATAGATTTTCGAATATTTTTTACATTCATACTTAGGACTTCTCATATGCATGCCAAAGGATGAAAAGCTACCAGTTTCATTACATTCATAGGGTTTCTTTCCAATAAGTGTTGTCACATGATTTTTAGGAGTTGAGATACCAATGAAGCCTTTCCCACACACCTTAAATTTATAGGGTTTCTCTACAATAAGAGTTCTAACAGGAATGCTTGGATGAGAGTAACAACTGCAGAGATCTCTACATTCTTTACACTGATAGGTATTACATCCATTGTGAGATCTGATATGATGCTTAAGTGATGAATGATCCATGAATTTTCCACACTCACAGCATTCAGAAAGATTTACTTTAGGAAGAATTCTGTTAAGCACAGTCGCATTTGGAATCCAGCTGAAGGTTTTTCCATATTCAATACATTCATTACTTTCATGGAGTTTTTCTAACATATGCCTCCTGTTAAAAATAGACATGTTGTTGGAAATAAATTTGTTACCATTTCACCATTACTGAACAAAAAGAACACGTATGTTTTTGCTGAGTTGTCTCATATTTCATAGTTTAAATCATCTGGCAGAGACGCTGCTATCATTACTCAGTGTTTCAAAAATATAGAGCATACTGATAATTGTGTACAAGTGAAATATGTTTCAAATATTCAATACCAGATTCCATATTATGAAAATATTGTAGTTTAAAAATTCTGTGAACACACAATTTTAGAAATACCTATTTATATATTTTACTGTCATGACAACTTAAGTCTCTCTTCTAAAGCAGGCACTATTCTTCATCGTGTGATTGACACTCACCTCATATGTCTCTCCTGGTTGTTACGCTTGTCTTCAATGCCATGGAATTCACGGATTTCTCTTAACATGGAGGGCGAGGTGCTATTCTTCATTAATCGTACTATTATCTGTTCACTGGATAACTTTTCTCCATCATTAAGGTTTTGAGAAACTGACCAAATGATTTTAGATGAGGTTCACCATACGAAATAAAAAGGAATTATCAGGAGAAAAAGGCAGCTTTGAACAAACAAAAACCTTGGGGTATTTGACTATTTCAGGACTTGACAAATGGTCTAAAAGCAATTTACTAGAAAATACTTACAGAAAGATTAAGAGTGAATGTGATATTAAGTAGGGTGTAATTAGGAGAATAAAGTAGAAAGACATGAGACACAACACACATGTAATGTTATAAAAGGAAAAGGGGAAGGCATTTCCCCAGGAACACAGCTGTGAAAGGACTGAAAGTCAGAAAAGGAAGATCAGGTATCTGTGTAGTTTAGTCTCCTCAACCCCAAAGAGACTTTTCTCATTTGTTTATTCAAATCTAATTCCTTCTATGCGGGGCTGGTCCTTCAAAGGGTTCTTCCCTTACTTGTGTTCCTGACACATGGCCCTGGATGAATCCTACTTTCACTTTCCTTACATCTTTCTCTTGTATCTCTGGGAGAATAAATGCATATAACTGACATAGAGCCAATGTAAAAAGGCATGTGATGAGTGTCTTAGTTTCTTATTGGTGCTATAACAGAAATACCATAAATGGGTGGCTTTAACAAGCAGAAACTTATTTTTTCATAGTTTAGAGGCCTAGAAGTCCAAATTCAGGGTGCTAGCTCTAGGGGAAAGCTCTCTCTGGGGGAAAATTCTTGTCTCTTTCAGCTTATCTTCCTCTGTTCCTTGGTGATCTCCATGTGGTATCAATCTCCATTTGTGCTTTCCTGCCTCTGTCCCTACCTGATCTATTCTTTTTATATATCAAAAACGACTGAC